GCCAGGGAGGAATAAGGGGAAAGAGCCATTTTGTTGCACATTGTTTATGATTCAAGAAGCCTTGAGCAGTTAAAAATGTGTACTATTACAGAGCTGCTTACCTAGGAATATTAACAAATAATATGTTCTAAAAAGAAAATGCAATTTTTTGAGGTTACTCACATTATACATCTCATGCAAATGTTTATTTTTATAGTTTCAAAAATATTAAATCAGATGGCTGTATAAGTAGCAATTTACATAAAAATAATAAATAAGGAAAATATTAGTTTGGGAGAACTAAATAAGCCTGCAGCCATTTTTGTTTTCATCAACAATACAGCCATTTAAAGGAAGGAAAAAATACTATTTTTAGAGCTGTGAACTTTTCAATATTTATTTTTGAAGTGTCATTTTCATTGCATGTTGTAAATCAAAATGCTAACGTCCTAAGATCATTCTATTCCTAACCAATCACATTAGAGAAAGAATATTCTAGAAATTATCAGATGTAATTCTGAATTAAGAAGAACGTAAACAGCCTATACTATGATAAAAACTAAATGTAAATATAATAGCTAGAAAGAGATGGTATTCCTACTTCTAGACCTGACTACATCAATGCCAAGAGTAGGAGATATTGGAAAATGTGATTGCTTTCCTTAACAGTATCCTGTGCCTGCCCTCGAGGACATATTTTCAGATATAAAGGTTACTGTTGTTAGAATTGGTTCAATAAAATAACTTTTTCCCAACGTTAACAATAGTCTTATGATCCTTTAGACATCTAAGTATATGAGAAAAAAATATAGAAAGTGAGAAATCTCCTCATAGACACAGTCAGCTTGTGTATTTTACTTTAAGTTGAAGTTCAGTGACTTCAAGAAATATATAAAATTCAGAAGGCCTGTAAGGTCATATCTAGTGTGCTGACCCTATAGAATGACTAAGCATCATATAGTTAAAAATTTAATTTCAGAATTTTAAGTTTTAGAAAACTGTCATAAATACTAAGCATATAAAAATTCATATACATACATAAATTGGTATGGTGGGGTGTGTGTGTATTTTCTAGTTTCTCAAGTTGAAGTTAAATATAGACTGATTACATTGCAATGAGTTAAAACACATTCTGTATGCTTAAACTTTGTCGACTTTGGCTATGAAAAGTATATGTATATAGAGAGACCTATGAAACCCACCCAAATCACAAAGGAAAATTATTTTTCTGTTAGAATTGCTTATTAAATAGGCATTGTTTATATAGTGATTTACACTTTCAAATATAATTTGGGGATTTGGTCCCATTCACTAGGAGAATGAAAGATACCTGTAAGTTAAAGGACAAAATTAAAAATTTCAAATCAAAAACTTCAGAAAATAGAGGTGGTAAATGGCCTCTTTTATGTTTTACAATATTTCCAGAAAATTTACACTTAATGCTGAATTAATTAAGTGCAGAAATATACATATAAGTGGTTTTATGAATCTTTCTAAGCTGATGTCTTTCGCCTATTAAAAATTATGCTGCTCAATTAGCATTAGAGGCCTTATGTTTGGTAATTACAAGTGTATGAGCTACATGAGTCTCTATACATGTGTGTGCTTTGTTCCACTTTCTTGATTCTTGATTCAAATTCTCTATGTATAATTGTATCAAATATTTAAAGTAAAGGAGTCAAAGAATATTGTGAAGTTCCCAAAAAGAATCCTAAATACCTTTATATATATTTTAAAAGGATGGGGCTGTTTTGAACATGATTTTGCTTGCCTGTCTGCCTTTCCGCCTGACTCCTTCACTCTCGTGTTATGGAAGTCTGTTGGAAACTTTCAATAAGCTGAGTAATGTTGTACCTTGCAAAAAAGCCTTCCACTCTGAGAAACAGGGCCTTAGAGAGTGGGAATGTTTTCATACTGGGACTACTAAGACTTTGCAGATGTGTGCATCTGACGTGTCCTTACATGTACTGAATGTAATGTGTTGAATGTTTATGTGTAGTCGATAAAGTATCTATATGTATGTGCATAAGACTGCCACAAGATGTATTCTCAGGAATACCACTACCTGGAGTTTGAAGACTAATTATTTAAAAAAAAAAAAAAAAACAGTCGGGGAAGATTGGAAAAAAGTTCAAGATAATTAACAATTTTTGTAATGTTCAAAATATTATTGAATATATGACTAAAAAGCTAATTATTACATATGATAAATACAGTATTGGTATTATTAGATAATTTCTTAAGCTAGGATGCTTAATGATATTTATCTTTTTCAGAGGAAAATTAAAACAGGCATCTATTCCCATGTATTAAAAATTGGATTCATCCAAGAAGTTGCTTCTTCAGAAATTAACTTCTGAGAGACCTTGGATTAAACAAGTATCATCCATGATAATGGGTGTACATTTATATTACTCGGATTCAATTAAAGCAGTTCAGATTCTGGAGACAGCATTTCTATAGCAAAACATTTTACTTTCATTTTTCAGAATTTGCTGCTTTCTATAATTCTATTAGATAAGTTATTTGATTTCTTCCAAAAAGGAAACTGTTACTAAATGCACTGGGACAAGGCACTGAGAACTACAATGTCAAAAGGCATAAATGGACGTGATAATGTTGGGGAAAAAAATCTGTGGTGTTGGGGTCTGGTTAGGGTCCGTTGCACAGGCTGGAAGTAGCTGCTTTGCCATTTCAAGCCTCCAGGAGTACCTTAGGCAGGGTGACATCTCCTCTCTTCTTCATTACATCCCCTCTAATCAGTGAAGAACATTCTCCACTCTGCTGTCCAGCTCCAAGAGCATCCGAGATGAGAATAGGGGGTACATAGGGATCTATAGGTAAGAAAGGATCACGAATAGAATTGCAGTCCAAAACACAATTAAATACCCTTCCTCAAGTTACACAGGATACTTCAGTAGTCTCTGGGATTTGCCGCTGTCACACCGTGTCATGCTGTTGCCTGTGACCCCACACTTCCAACTCCAGGGCCTTGTCTTTAGCAGTGAGTAGAAAGCCTCACTTCCTCATTGACTTTAGTGGGTCTCAACTGCAGCATTTCAGAAACAAAGTTTGGTTTGACACTCAGGAGAATAAAAACAAGTTAAGGGCAGAATGTATTTGGAAAAGCTTAAGACAAATTTACTTATATTATTTTAGGATCATTTAGGATTACAGATCAATGTACCTCCATAATATTTTTCAATAGTCACTGTGACTGCAGGATGAAAATCCTTATTAGCCATTTTATAGGTAAAACAAAAGATTGATTTCACAGCCAACTTCTCTCAGATGACTATGAAGTCTGTTCTGAATAACGAATGACCAAAGAGCATGGAAAAAATGCATATGAATAAATGCTGAAATGTTTATGAAAGATATTTATGAAACATATTAAGACTTCTGTGTTTGAATATGCACATATAATAAAGTAAATCTAAAACTATTTAAGATGCGTGATGAAGTTTCATTTCTTAACATAGAGAATAGGTTAACTCATTCAGGTGAGTGTCCGTTTTAGGGTGTTCCTTGATGCCTCTCCTCAGCACCCCCAGTCTGGCCTGAGGTCACCTTTCAGTGAGACACTTCCTATTCCTCCCTCCAGCCCCAAATGAGCTCCATCCTACTCATGCTTTCTACCCCCAATTTCAACACGAAGCAGGATGGGCACATGGGGAGTCAGTACCCCAGGGTGACTTCTCTGCCCAGGTTATGGCCTGCTGGAATGACTGGTAGATTTCCCAGGGGGAATGTTAAAGATTCCTCTGGTTGGCCCCCGAATGTGGCCAGAAGCACCATAGCGTCCAAGTTACTGCCACAGTACAAAGTACTCTATCCTACCTTCTAAGGTATAATCTTGTTAAATTTATGTTGTTTCCTCATGTGGTTTTACTACGTCTCTTTTCCTGACCCAATGACCCTAGGTACATCAGGCAGAGGAATAGCCCTGCTAAATAAACCGCAAGCAACAGGATAGACTGGAGTATATGAGTAAGCCATTTGGTGTAAAACTAACTTGGCCTGACCTTGTTTTTCCAAAAGGCCCTGACGTGCCCGTGGAGCATGCAGTGTACATCTGCTTTAAGCATTTGCTGTGTCCCAAAGATGAGAACAATACCCTCAAGATAGACCTGCAACTTCCCCCACATTGCATTTCCTTAAGGATAAGCATCTCTCCCCAGGCTAGGAACTGATGGCTGTGCTGACCTGTGACCACCCAGCTCGAGACCCAGACCTGCCACCTGTTGTGTGAACAGCTGTGCTGCGCTGCTGGGAGATCTCCTGAGGACCCTTGTAAAAGGGACGTTGCTGTCACACGTGACGGATGCCCTTTGTTCCAAGACAGTATATAACCTTCCTTCTTTGGGGAAGAAAGGCCCCGGTCTAGCTCTCAGATCTGGCTCGTTAGAAACTCACTCCAGTTTTGATTTATAGACTGATTAGGGATTATCTGCGTGGACACCCTCCTTTGCATTGTGTCTGAACACTAAATAAACGTATTACCATTTGTCAAGAGCATTTCTGAGGGGGAAGACAGAAGAGAAGGTAAGAGGGACGAGGGCCAGAAACAGAGGAGAGCGGCGGCGGCCGGCTGGGCCTGGGCCCTGTCAGCGCCGCGCAGCCTGCGGCGCCCGCGAGCCGCCAGGTCCCGGCGGGCAGCGGCCAGTCCGCCCTCCATCTTACTCCCCTAGCTCTTAAGAGGATCTCGAGGAGAGAAATTAGGAGCCACGGGTTTTGCTTTGTTTTTAAGGGCAAGCACAGGAGCTGGAAAGGAAAGGAGCGCATATGCAAACGACGGTGAAACAAAGAGCGAAGCGACCACCCGAGCGCCAGGAGACCCGCAGGCCGGCTGCGAGAACACACCGCTGGGGCCGGGGGCCGGAGGAAGGGCCTTCGAGAGCGGCCGCGCCCCTAAGCCGCAGGCTGGCAGCCCCGCCCCTGAGGGGGAGGCGGGACTTCCTCTGCGCCGGGCGGCCGCTTCCGGCGGAGTTCGGAAGGCTCGACGGGAAGGGGCGGAGCCAAGGCCGCGCGGCCAATCGCGGCGACGCCGTCGTCTTGCCGGGGTTACCTGCTCCTGGGCGCCAGCACCATGGCGTCCGGCTGCAAGATTGGCCCGTCCATCCTCAACAGCGACCTGGCCAACTTAGGGGCCGAGTGCCTCCGGATGCTGGACTCCGGGGCCGATTACCTGCACCTGGATGTAATGGACGGGTAACTCCGCGGGGCTCGGGGCGGGGCTGCCGCGCAGCCGGCCGGCACCCTGCGCTGAGCACCTCTCGGGACACGGCGTCCCCGCACCGCCGGGCGCCGGGTCGGAGGCGGCTCCGAGGGGGCCGGGCGGCCGGAGGCGCTCTCCGCAGCGGGCCTACACGCGCCCCGCCCGCCCGCCGGGGCCCGGAAGCGGCTGCGGCCCGGGCGCCTGCCGTCAGGAGAAGCGGGGGCGGCGCGGCTGCGGGGCTCCGGGGCTGCGGGGCTGCGGGGCTGCGGGGCTGCGGGGCTGCGGGGCTGCAGAGCTGCAGAGCTGCAGAGGGCGGGCGGTGGGGGCCGCCTGTCGCGTGCTCGCTGGGCTGCGGCTGCTGCGCCGTCGTGCGAGTTTCGATGCTCGGGTCCGTCCGCTGCAGGCACCTTGCCCTCAGGGGAGGCGGCGTCTCTGTAAGCGCTCAGCTCTGTCGTTAGAGCGCATAGACAGTGCTGTTCGGAGTCAGGAAGAGGCTGTAAAATGAGGAAGCGGACCTGGAGCAGCCGGTGAGACGCCGTCGGATCGCGGCCTGGGGACTGCGCCGCTTGGATCTTGGTGGGCGCGGCGGTTCCCTGGGCCCACTGATAACTGGCCGTGAAGTCCTAACAGCCATTACCGTGGGTCGACGCGGAAACGTAAATTTATTTTAAATAGATCAAGTTTTTGGGTGCCCTCATGCAAATTTGCAAATTCGTGTTATTTACAGAAGGCGATCACTTATTTCCCGTCCTTTTTACCGTCTCTCCTCTTGTAATACGAGTTTTGTCTTCGTTTGTTCTCTTTGGTTAACTCTTGTTTTCCTTGCATTGCACTCAGTTAACTACTCTGCCCAACTGGTAATGGCAAAGTCTTGACCTTAAAGTACTAAGAATTCTAGGCTGAGTGTGTAAGAAGATTAGTAAATATTACCTCGTACAAAAGTTTGGTTTTTAGTTTGTTGTCATATATAGTTCTACTTAGATATTTTTGACACCTTTGCTTGAAAGCCCTGCAATTTCACAGTTAATATTCCTGAATGGAATGTGTACCTCAGAGATAGCTGGCTACATTTTTGTGTCTTTGACACAAAGTGAAAAAAATTTTGTCTCTAAGACACCTAGGGGTCTCAGGATAGAAGAGGCTACGTGTGTGTGTGTGTGTGTATGTGTGTGTGGTCTGTTTGATACAGAAAGCAGTTTGGTTTTAAATGTCTTGTACCATGTTTGAGTAGATGAATGAATAGAGAAAATTGTTTCAGTTCACCAATCCAGAATATTAATGATAACAATAGTAGCTAATATTTAGGAGCACTTAACTCTTTCTGTTCTGACATTTTTTGTGAGTGAACTCACAACCATAGGAGGTTGGTGCTGCTTTTGGCACCGGCATCTGGTAGTGAGGAATCGGACATGCAGAGGTGGCCACCTGGCTGTGTCCTCGTGGCTAGGAAATGGTGGAGCCAGGATTGGAAGCAGGCAACAGCTTGTGTTGTCTCAGAATTTAAATATCTTCTGTGGGTACTGGGCTTGCAGAGAATAGTTAAGTTGTTCTCAAAGAACTAATAATTTATACACTTACTTGTGTTACTTATTTCACGTCTCTCCTGCTGTAAGCTCCCTGAAAGCAGGGTCTGACTCTTTGGCTTACCTCTGTTCTCTGCAGGTGAAGGACCTTGACAAGCTTAGTTATAATTGGTTGAATGAATGAATGCTTTTATCATAATGGAGGGATCTCTAAGGAATCGCTTTTGCCCCCTCCCGGCCCTATGGCAGACCTTGAGCTTATTAAGATAAAAGTATTTGGTTTTTATTGACTCCGCACCCCCTTTGCCAAGAAATGTCTTGGTTTGAAAAAACTAGATTCTCTAAACACCATTTTAAAACCCTTTCCCTTTTAAGCTTCACAACTTGTTGAGCTAAGACCTATTTTTATTCCCCTTTTGCAAAGGAGGAGACCAGTTTAGGGACGTTCAGCCCCATCCCAAATGTCCCACCAGAAGAGGCAGAGCCTGGCTGAGCTGCAGGGTCTCCTAGGACAGGGTGGGAAAGTGGAGCGTGGAGCCCTTTGCCAAGGGGATCCGCCCCAGCTTACCTTCTGCCTCCGTGCTTCTCTTTTTCCTGCCCCCCCCTTAAAGATTTCCACCATTACACTGAATTTGGGTGCACTGCTTGTTTTCTGTTCCCGTCCTCTCCCTCTGAAGCCCCCACTTTCTCTCCTGGTTAAAGCTGAACGACTTCATTTTGAAAGACAAGAACAAGTTCTGGGGACACTGTAGGGGATGGGGCACTAGTGTGGTTGGATATTTGGAATAAAGGACAAGTGGATTCTCTGGAAAAGAAAATTGGAAGCCATGTAAACACATATGATAGGGCAGTGACTGGAAACGTGTTGGTCCTAAGTATCGGAACAGCACAAATAAGCAATTTCTAAATTAGTTACTAGGATTTAAAATTGGAAAGATTTCACATTAATACTAGATTTCTGACTTTTGAAAAACATCCAAAGATTTGCCAGTTGAGCCCACAGTCCCCTAAGGCCACGTGGGCTAGAGCTAAATGGCAGCCACCATTAGCCAGGCCGGGTGTTCTTCACGTGTCCCCTGGCCATGTCTGCCCTGTTTTGCTCTTCCGCCTTATCTGCCAACCCCTGTAGGCATAGGAGTTTGTGATTCCTCTTTCACAGGAAGTGTTTCTGGTTACAAGCTTGGTAGATTTTGTATCAACCTGAATCCTCCTTTTACCATCTCTGCCTTGTTGGGAGACCTAGTAAAGGTTTCATCTGCCTGAAGTAGATTGCATGACAATTATAAACAAAGCTTCGCGTTGATGGTAGATTAAATGATTGTATTGTGTATTATAAACAATCATACCTTAATCTCAATAAATTCCATAGCAGCAAAGGATACTCTTTTAATTGCATTTTATTTTTTGCAGACTTTACTCCAAAAAGTGCCTTCAAGGAAAAAGCATAAGATAATTATGAAGCAGGCTTCCTTAATGAACTCTTTCTTCATTAGAGTGAAGTAAGCTCATATTTTCCGAGCTGGTCTGATAAGAGCTCCCTGGCTCTTGTTAGACATTCGCATTCCAGGTGCTCTTTGCTGCCTCTAGGCTTGGGGCGAAGCTCTTTTGTGGCAGGTGTTCCATGGTTACTGTTGTCAGGCAAATTTGGGGCACTCTTGACTTCATCCTTGGATTTGTAGCCTTTTTTTATTATAGTTTAGCTGTAAGCCTGTGGTTTCTTGTAAGGATATTGGTCCGTTTTTGTTCTTCCAGTGTATTTGATGAACCTAGTGCATGGGGCTGGCCCTGTGGCATAGTGGTAAAGTTTGCTGGGTTCCACTTCGACGGGCTAGGTTTGTGGTTCGGATCCTGGGCACAGACCTACACCACTGGTCAGCCGTGCTGTGGCAGTGACCCACATATAAAGTAGAGGGAGATTGGCACAGATGTTAGCTCAGGGCTCATCTTCCTCAGGTAAAAAAAAAAAAACACAAATGGATCTGAAGTATCGAAATTAGTCATATAATTTTGGGTCAGTAGTTTCATGTGCTTCCATTTCCCAATGAATTAAAAGTGTGTTTGTTTTATTCTCACATTTTCTCAAGATGTGGTTCTTAGGTTTATTTTCATGATAAATGAAACCTAAGGTGGAGACGACAAAAGTACTTCCAACACCATGCAGCAGATTAAAAGAACAGTGAACAAAATCTTCATGTTTCCCTTCTAGTGGGGTATAGTATTCACTAGGCCTTCCTGCTGTTTATCTAACCCTTTCTTCCAAGTTCTAAGTAAATAATAAGGGTTTATCCATAACCCTGGCAGTCATTGCTCTAAGTCAAATGGTAGAATGATTTCCAAAATACTAGAAACCCAGCCTCTGCGGACCAAAGTGCTGGTGAGTGGAAGTGTCTGTGCCTGTCCCTCTCAGATAGGCCCTGAATCCTGCCCTCTCTCCCTCGAGTCTCGCTTCCTCCCTTGGACTTTGATTAGTCATCAGTGGAGGGGCAGACAAGCCTAGGAGTTAAGAGCCTGGACTTTGGAGCCCTGGCCTGCATTTCATGTCTGCCCCTCACTTCCTGGTTGTGTGAGCTTGGGACTCTTCCTCGTCTGTAACATACAGATAATAATAGTACCCATCTCATAGGGTGGTTGTGAGATTTTAATGAGTTAATACATGGGAAGTGTTTAGAAGGGTGCCTGGCCTATGTATGTTTTAATTTTTTATTAACACTCACTCTGCCTGTCATCTGAGCTTAAGACCTCAGCCATGGTTTAGTCTCTCTCTTCAGCCCCCACGTCTGGTCAGTTAACAAATCCTGTTGCTTTGGCCTGTCCTTCTTTCCATTCTTATTGTTCCTTGCCATTTACCAACACCTCTAACCTCCCTTATTCCGATTTACTGCCCAGTCTTTCTTCTGACTTTATTATTTGCATCTTATTTTTTATTTGCTTCTTGCTTTAAAACCTCCCTTCACATTCACAAAGGATAAAGTCCAGACTCTGAGCCTGGCATTTGATACCCCTTAACGTGACACAGTCTGCCTACCGCCTTTTTCACACTAGGCAGACTGCTTGACACCATCTTCCCCGTTATTTGAACATAGCTTGCTTTTATCTGCCTTAGCTTCGTTCCTTTTCCCTTCTTTGCAAATTCAGTTGGTTCTATAAATCTCATGATCTTCCCCTCTTTTAAATGCTGTGCTCCTTGTCTCTGGAGCTGTTTTCCCTCCTTTTGCCTTCTTGTTGGTGTTTAGCTTTCCCTCCAGTCCTTGTGTAGGGTAATACCTACTACTTTAACAAAGCCCAGATTCCAGCGGCTTAACGTTATAAAGTTCATTTCTCATTCATGTGACGGTTCAGTGTGAGTGGCCTCCATGCAGAAACTCGGGCCACGGTCTCCTCCATCCTGTGGCACTGCCATTCCCCAACGGCTCCCTTACTGGCAGAAGGGTACAGTGAGCGGAAGAGGAAGACCACACAGCCTCCTGGGCTCTGCAGTGACACTCCACTTAAGCTCATAGTCCTTTGGTGAGAACTAGTCACTTGGGCCACCCGGATGTAAAAGGACTCGCGAAGTGTGGTCTTTGGTGAAGTTGGCTTCCTGCTGACAACCGTAGGGTCGTGGATTCTGGTGAGTTGCTAGCCGTCTCTTCCCAATGAGATTGTGAACTTTTCTGAGGTCAGCAGGAGCTCTCGCTTGTTTCTTTATAAAATACAGTACTGAAGCACCTGGCGTGGTACTTGCATGTAGGAGGTTTTGTTAAAGAAATTGAAGTGAGCCAGTGATAGAACAAAGGCCTAAGTGGAGTAGGATAATGGTTAAGTACTTTGGGTCTGATATCAGGAAGACTTAATTTGAATCCTGCCCCTAGAAATTATTAACTGGTGATTTAAAGAGGTTGTTTATCTTGTGCTCTTCCAATGAGGATAATGAGAGCATCTCCTTCCTAAGGCTGTTGTGAAGATGAAATGAAGTGAGGTACAATGCCTGGCATGTTGTAAACCCTCCGTAAGTGGTGGTTATTAGTACACACACCAAGTTTCTTTATTGATAATCTCTAAGAAAGTTTAAACGGTCATTTAGTGCCCTTGGATAGTGGTGGATGAGAAGTAGCCCCAGGCAGCCTGTGACAGACTAGGATTTGAGAGACCCACATCAGAGTCCTGTACTTCCTAACTAGTGTGTGACATGGGCAAGTCATATAACTTTGGGGGTTTTGATTTTGTCATCTTTCCGTTTCTACCTGTCAGGGATTATGAATTATAGAGTCAAGTCATGTGACATTATTATGATTTGTTGAACTGTCAAGGAGATACTGCTTTGTAAAACCAAAATTATCCAGATATTGTTAGTATTGTTTAATACCGATGATGTGAAATATTAAATTGAAAAATGTTGCAATTACGTGTAATCCTATCTACCCCCATCAGAATACATATTGAGAAAAATACAGAAACTGATTTGAAAACATTTTCAGAGTAAGATTTTGTTTGTCTTGTAGGCATTTTGTTCCCAACATCACCTTTGGTCACCCTGTGGTAGAAAGCCTCCGAAAGCAGCTAGGCCAGGACCCTTTCTTTGGTAAGTGGGTGTTACGCCATCTGAAGCTTGATGTGTTGCTCAAGTAAAGGAAAAGTAGATGGTTGATTTCTTAACTTCCATTTTCATCTTGAACCCTTTTTCCCCCGTCTCTGTGCTGGAGCATCATGGCTGCCTGTAATAAGCTAAGCTCTTTCCTGCCTGAGGGCCCTGGCACTTTTGCCAATCTCTTTGCCTGGAAAGCTGTTCTTGTGGCTGGCTCTGCCTCATCTTTTGACCCCAGATCATGTCATTTCCTCAGAGAGGCCTTTCTAAGTACCCTATCCTAAATTAATCTTTATCCAGTTATCATATCACTTTCTGAATTTTCTTCTTAGAACTTCCTTCAATATGAGATTACTTTTTTCCGACTATAAACGCCTTGAAAGCAGGGATTTCATCCACTTTGTTTACTGTGGTTTTCCTAGGGCTCAGCACAGACACAAGATTGGGCTCAGCATAATTGTTAAATGAAGTTATGAATCAACTGATCCATGCCCTAGAAGTGAAGCTAATTATTTTGTGCAAATTGGAGCTTTTTGCTAATGAGGCCTACGCATCCTCTACTCCAGTGTTGTGGGTTAATGTGAATTCAGGTTTTTAAGATCACACAGTGACCTAGAAATGACTTCTCGAGGAACATGGACTCAGTCCACGTGTTGTTGGTCTTTTACACTGTTAGCAGTGCCTCACTTACCAAATCTCTTCTATGTAAGGAATTTAATGAATTTTTCTACATATGGTTTTATGTAACTGTTGGAATTTAGCAAAACTTAGACTTTTTTATTGCCATATTGTGGACCAATTTTATGAAAGACATTAGCTGTGCTGTTCAATATGGTTGCCATCAGCTACATAGAGCTATTTAAGTTTAAATTCGTTCAAATTAAATAAAATTAAATATTAAGTTTTTCTGTGGCACTAACCATATTGTAGGTTCTCAGAAGTCACATATGGCTAGTGCTTGCTGTAGTGTACAGTGCCACCGTGGAACATTGCCGTCACTCTAGAAAGTTCTGTTGGACACAGCCTCTCGATAGGATCCATCTACTGTGAGTGCACCTAAGAGAATGTACTTGATTGCCTGATTTGGGTAGCATGAGGGAAACAATGTTCCACCAACATGTTCACCGTTTTGAAATTTCCAAATAGTGGAATATAATCCTCTGATTATCTAAACTTTTTTTTTTTAACTACATTTTGGAAAATGAGTTTTCCAAGATGAGTTTGTTCTTATGACTATCAGAGGTGGATGAAATAAATAGCATTGTTTACCCCCATTGTACAATGGCCACAGAGTCGTCTACGTCTGGCTTTGTTGTTTTCCCTTTTCTCTCCCTCTTTGTGCTCCTAGTTTCACTTCTCACTGCTGTTTCTGTCTCCTACTGTCAGTGCTGCCTCTCCTTTTACCAACCCTAGTGCCACCACCACACACAGTATGCTTTTGCTTCCTGTATTTAGTTTACTGTTTAATGATAAGCTTGCTAGTCAATCTTTCTAAGAAGTAGGTCTAAAATAAAGATGAATGGATTCCATAAGCTTTAACGTTTGGGTTTTGTGACCTTTGTTTTTTATATTAAGAAGTATTTTTTGTTTGTTGGCTAATTGATTCATGAGTGTATTCTAGGAATTAAATCACAGGTTGTATGTATAACTGCTAAAGTTTTTAACTGTTCAATCTCAGTATTGAGAAGAAAACCATCTAAGAAATAAAGTGATAGGGAAAAGTATGTTTTTGCTGTTATCTAAATCAGTCTTCAAGTATGGTCTGGGGACCTACGGGAGGTCAAAACTGTCCTTCTATTATGATATTTGCCACTGTTTGTACTGAGAGTACAGAAGCAGTGGTGGGTTAGTGCGCTGGTGCCTTAGCCCAAGTCAGGGCAGAAGTACTGAGCTGTACAAGTGGTCGTTATGTTATTCATCGCCGTGCTTTCACAGTGAGCGTCCTTGATGAAATGGTACAAGTTATTAATTATAGTAAATCTTGATCCTTGAGGGCATGTCTTTGTACTTTGTGTGACAAAGTGGGAAATAGGTATAAAGTGCTTCAGCCGTGGACTTGAAGGTGCTGGTTGTCTCAAGGAAAAGCACTTGAGCCATTGTTTGAGCGAACTGAACTAGCCGCTTTATTCGCCAACACCATTTTCACTTGAAAGAAGAACTCACTGATGAAGTATGGTTATCAGACTTGGGTGTTTTACTGACATTTTCTTTAAAATTAACTAAGTTAGCCTGCGACTTCAAGGAAAATACCTTATAAGTTTTTGTTGCCACTGATAAAGTTAGAGCTTGCAAGTGAAAGTTAGAATTTTGGAAAATTTGTGTGTATTCCTGTAAGCTTGACAGTTTTCCAGAAGTTAGAGCTTTTCTGAAAAGTTCTGTAGTCATATTAATGAATGTGATTTTTTTGATATTATATAATGAAATGTGTCACTGTTGAGAAGATTTGTGTAATTCAGTGAGCCAGTACTTAACCATTCAAAGTGTAGACAGACCAATGGGTTTTAGTGTAACAAAGTATGAAAAGTTCACAGGTAGGGTTTACAGATTCTGCGTTGCAGCTAACCTTTATAAAAAGACCACTTGTTGAGTGACCACTTGTTGAGTTTTGGTGTTAGAAATAGAAGGATATCCACACTTATCTGAAAAGGATATTAATGTACTCCTCCGTTTTCCATACACTTTTCTCCCTTTTCTTCATATGAAGTGACATGTTACAACAGATTGAATGCAGAGGAGATGTGAGAATACAGATGTCCTCTGCTAAGCCACACTGTAGAGATTTGCAAAAATGTAAAATATGACACTCTTACATTGACATGTAATAGATTTATTATTGCTTATTATTGTTGTTTTTTTGATAAATTAATAGACACAAAAGTTTCTTAGTTTGAATTTCTAATACATTAAATATCAATAAATATAAACCACACCAATGACATTTTTTGAGGTCTTCAGTTATTTTTAAGAGTGTAAAGGGAACCTAATAATAGAATGTTTGAAAACTGCTGATCTCGCGCAGTACGTTGACCAGATTCACGGGCTTGTTCACTCCTTGAACTCGAGATTCTCCCGTGAGGCTGCTGCTCCAGTGAGAGGGGCTGCGTGCTGGGGCTTGAGGGACATGGCAGTCTGCTAACTAGGTGTTTGAAACCAGGTTGAGTTGTCCTTGTTTATAATACAAAGAAATAAGAAACGCCAAATAGAATCGGTCTTTTAAAAACAATGTGTTACCTATTAAAATATGTTCTATTTTTATTACTTTTGGTAGTTTAGAAATATAAACTTTAATCTTGGCTTCTTTAGTCAAGCGGTATACCTTCTTTTCCCTACATTTTTCAAAGCCTTATTGCATTTTATAGCTCAGCTTTGTCAGAAATGTGCTTCCTCTAGTCAAACAAAAAACTCAAAATTCTTCTCACTACCGTCTGTCCAGCACAGGAGTGTTTACTGTTTCCCTCTTCACAGCATTGTTGATTTATCCTCTTTTCAGCTGACCTTTCCTTCTCATTCAGTGCTATTATGTTGTAAGTCAAGGTCTTTAGGAAGGCCATCCCCATTTCCCCTAACATTTCTATGATTCAGGGTTTAGAATTAAGATGCGTGTCAGGCTTCTAGTTAACATCCTTCCCCCTAAGTCTGTTTCTCCTCCTGCAGTTTTCTGCCTTTCAGTTAATGAAAGTTCCATTCGGGTTACTCGGGCCCAAATCTTTGTGCCATCTGACTGTCCTTCACCCTCCATATCGAATCCACAGCCACTCCTGTTGACTCTACTGTCAGAACATACCCACAGTGCCACCACTTCTCCCCATCCTCAATTGCTGCCATTGTCGTTTCTCACGGGACTTACTGCCATGGCCTCCTAAGTCAGATCTTGTCCCTTCTTCGCTCCGAATCCTTCAGTGTTCTCCCATCGCATTCGGAATCGGATCCGATGCCTGCGGAGCTCTGTGCTGTGCCTCCTCACCCCGGGCCTCTCTGACCTCATCTCCTCTCCCCAGGGCCCCCAGCCACGCTGGCCTTGTTAACGACCAACCGAGTGTGTATTGTACTGACTCATGTTTTTTATGGTTTCTCTCCTCTACTAAGAATGTAATCCCCATGACAGCAGAGATTTTTTTGTCTGCCTGGTTTTTGCTCTGTCCCTTGGGCCTAAGATAGTTAATGGTGCAGTAAGAGCTCAGTAAAATATTGGTGGAGAAAATCACTTAATTTAGCTTTCTTATTTTACAAATGAAGAAGCAATTCCAAATGGATAATACAACTTTTTAAAGATTTTAGGGTGGCATTTCCTGGCCCTGGACGTAGGTTCCCTGATTTCTAGTCTTTACTTTTCATATATAGCACCATATGGTTTTTGTGGAAAAATGGGTTTTTTGGTAAATGAGTTTAACCAAAACCTTGTCTTCAGGATAAAAGGAGGCTGGCTATACAGAGTGTCACTATTTGACAGTTGTGATGCCAGAAGAGTTTCTATCCGAAAGAAGGGAAACTGCAGGCTGGCTTCAGTGCCTGCGCCGGGGCTCTCCTCACGGCCGTGTTCAGGAGCTGTGTCTCTTCTTTGCAGACATGCACATGATGGTGTCCAGGCCGGAACAGTGGGTAAAGCCAATGGCCGTAGCAGGAGCCAATCAATATACCTTTCATCTCGAGGCTACGGAGAACCCAGGGGCTTTGATTAAAGACATTCGGGAGAATGGGATGAAGGTGAGAGGTCAGCAGAGACAGTAATGTTTTATACTGTTCCCTCAGAGTTCAGAAGGTTTGGTGGAAGACAGGAAATGATAGGTAGAGAAGACCGGACCTAGGCAACTGACTGTTCTTCATCTGGGAAGCCAGAATTGAAGTATAACTTGCTTGTCAGACAATATTTATATATTCCACTAATATTTCCTGAAAATGACTACCTTTTAGAAACTTTGACATTTGATAGCCTTTTTTTAAAAAATAATTATAGTCTGCACAATTTATGCATTCCATTTATGTATGTAATCTGTTCTCTACGAATAAATATCTCTGCTGGGCCTGGTATGTCACAGTAATATAAAATGGAAATAATTGTTAATGTGTATAGCAAATGTGTCTCTGTTACAGGTTGGCCTTGCCATCAAACCGGGAACTACAGTTGAGTATTTGGCTCCATGGGCTAATCAGATAGATATGGCCCTGGTTATGACAGTGGAACCTGGGTTTGGAGGGCAGAAATTCATGGAAGATATGATGCCAAAGGTAAAAGAAGTATTTGATTCTGGGGTGAGGCTTTCATTGTGTGTGTTTGTTCACTGAGCATATCTTGAACCACTTGTACATTTAGACATGTCCTGTTCTGAAGGTGGGGAGATGGGGATGCCTACAGATTATTATAATACGTATGATAAATGCTCTAAGAGATTTCGGTGTGGAAATCAGAAAAGATACTACACCCTAATCTTGAAATTTTCTTGCAAAACAATATCTCTGTAGCCTTTAGATCTCTTGGGAGTTTTCGCTGAATATTAAGAGTTTTGTCTTTATCTTGTTTCCGTGAAGTATATTCTCTGCAAAGCCATGACAAATTGGATGCCATTTGCCAAACAGAACAGAGCTTAGTTTTATAAAACTTAATTGGTTTCAGTGTATTGAAAAGGGAGTTTCCCTGACCGTAATTGCCCCGACATGAAGTTAGTGCACGTGGCGTTGGAGTGCTGTGTCAGTGGCCGAAACTGGGTCTCTGATTTACTGTTTATTTGGTTTATCCCCCCCACATATCCACTTCACGAGTCACTTACTTCCTTGTGTATGTCTAGGTTCACTGGCTGAGGACCCAGTTCCCGTCTTTGGACATAGAGGTCGATGGTGGAGTGGGTCCTGACACTATCCATAAATGTGCAGAGGTGAGACTGCTCCTCAACTGCTGTGACCTAGACCACTGTCCTAGCGAATCTAATGCCCAGGACATTGTCTTGTGGGTCGAAGAGATTTCTCCTGTATTTCCTAAATTGCCTTTCTCTTGGAAGAGTGCTTTTTGTTCAAATGTAGAACTAGGAAAATAAAGAACAATAAATGAATGTTCTCAGATCACATAATCATTAAATAGTAAGTCCTGTTTATCTCAGTAATGCTGAAGAAAGTTCTCTTTTGAAAAAGAATATGCTGAATGCCAGCCTTTAGAAGATCATTAAGTTCCAGGGTCTTGGAGCGAGACATTTTTCCAAAATAGGGAAAGAAAACATAATTGCTTACAAAGGGGAACAAATGTTAATTCTGTAGAACGCAGTTGTATGGGTTACCAGTTCATCTCTTGCGAGAGCTGACTAGAGCCGTGTCTGGTGAAGTCTAGATCTGCGCTCTGGATGCCTCTGGCCCCTGCGGAGAGGTGGGAGGAGTGGTTTTCCAGGCGGCTGGAGCTTCCTAAGAGGACGCCCCCTTCCTGTGGCGATTCAGGCAGTTAAAGTCTATGTGGCCTGCTTTTGTTAAGCAACACGGTCTTATCTACACTTCCAGGTTTTTGTATAAATGCCACACTTTTCTGCTTGATACTTATCAAAAGTTTGGCTGTGGTGAGTATTTATGGAAGGGACGCTGGCCAAATGGTTGGTGAGCGTATATCCTTGGACCCCTTGTGGAATGCTTTTTCCTGAACTGTGTGTGGCCATCGTGCTATTCCTGCTTACACTGAGAGACATTACAACTGATAGTAAGTTGTAACCCTATAAAAGTTTTTTCCTTTTTTTACATTTCTGTAAGGAATGTTGTGGGAGATGTGCACTGTATCCTGGAGTGACACTATCTCCTTGGAGAGGTTTTCCTCCGCCTCAGTGGCTCTCCCGGAGTCCCCCTTTGTCCTGGCAATGAGGCACGTAACAGACTGGGTCTCCCTCCTCGAGTCCTAGGAAGCTCAGAGCTAAATTTGGAGTCATCTTGTTTGCTTTTCTCTTTCTTTGCTTCCACGTTTTCAAACATCTTGAAAGTCTTTTTTGAGCCACCTCCAAACCGTTAGAATGCAATGAAGCATAAATAAAGACATTCCATTCCTTCTGGCATCAAAATGAGAAATGACTTAAATTTAATGTTGCCATACTTTATGGATAATTTCACATTTTAGCAATAGTTCTTTCAGACTAGCAGTTCATACACATAATTCAAAGATTAAAAGATAGTGGTTTTTTAGTAGCTGTGGGGGCATTGGTATATATTGGAAAAACCTTAATAAAGTTGAGGATGAAAAGTTTTTAAACCTTATGTAAATATTAGCGAAGATGCAGTATAGTTTATGTAAAGGCGGTTACAAAAAAGTGATTCTTAGACACATTTAAAAATAATTCCACATTCTCACTTGTTAAGCATTTTCACTTTGTTCTTTCTTGAAATAGATTCTGAAGTCTGTTCGTCACAAAGTGGCTTTCGTACGCTTGCAGTGCTGACTAAAGGTGCCCAGGTGCACACTTGAGCCCGGGGCTTCTAGGCTTTTCTGCATCTGCCCTGGAGGCATGACCTGGTGTTTCCTTCTTGCAGGCAGGAGCTAACATGATTGTGTCTGGCAGTGCCATCATGAGGAGCGAAGACCCCAGGTCTGTGATCAGCCTGTTGAGAAGCGTGTGCTCGGAAGCTGCTCAGAAGCGCTGTCTGGACCGATGAAACCACAAGGCGGCCAGTGTTTCCGCTCATGAAGGCGCCCCTTCACCGGGAAACAGGCATCTTGACGGCCAAATCGTATCACAGTTGAGGCAGTGCTGCTGTTCTGAGCACTGCTGCATTCCAGTGACTAAAATCGATTTGCAGAATGTTAAAAGAGGCTAGAAGTTGGTGTGGATAACTACATTTTTAGTGATGGGATTTAAAGATTAGTGTGGTAAAGTACCATTTTTACTGGGAGACTTGATTTTTATAAAGTAAAAATATGGCTGTATTAAGGTTATAAACAAACGTGTCTTCATGCCTAAGGAAGGCTTGTTAGTTACTATGGAAAAAATGTTTTTTCTGCATTTCCTAAAAGAGTATTTTGCTGTTTCTCAGCTGTTTTCCAAAAGCAAAGGAAGTCCTTATGTTTTCTCTGTTTCATGTCATTTTTGATTTGTGTATATGCTTGATAATATAAGTAGAATGGAACTTATGAAAAATCTAAGGCTGGGATGGCGTACCATAGTCTTCTTGCTTCTAAAACTTTTATTCTTCACGCTGCACCTTGTATTTGGTACATAAAACAATGTATGAAGCCCAGGAATTTCCAGGTGGTCTGTTCCAACATACATACGTAGATTTTATCAGGGTGGCTCTCTGCTGGAGGGCCAGGGCATTCAGTGATTCCCCCCTTTTCTTCATTACACCCACTGTTCTTAAGGACAGGAAGTAATGCTGTGCTCGCTCTGAGCAGAAAGCAAAGCCTCTATTTGGAAGTAATGTGGAGTTGAACCCTGACTCTTCTCCTTTCCCACGATTTGACCTTAGCAAATCAAATCAACCGACCTCTTTCAGCTCAACTGGTTTATACGTTGAATGTAATTATAATAACCATGCATGGTTGTTTTGAGGTTAAAAGAGATACTGTTATATATGTAAAGCTTCCACTGCTGTTCCTAGAATTGTAGGATGGTAGAATTGAGGGTGCTCATTACAAAGTAGCTGTTATTATATAAGTTATGTTTTGTAGGTTATAAAGAACTTTGATATAATCTCATTAAATCTATAAATCATTCCTATGAATGGTAGGACAGGTATTTTTGTCCCCACTTAAAAAATGAAGAAACGAACCCTCAGCGGCAGGCTGGCACCGTGGGAACGACCCAGGAGGGCATGGGTTTCTGGTCTGTACTCTGTACAAGTGGAGCCCTTGGGAGGTGGATTAGGCAAAGGAAGCTTCTCTACTTAACATTGTCTCATTTCCAGTCTAACTTTACCCTGTCGCTGAACCAGATGGCTGAGAATATTCTGGAACTGTGGATTTTGATCCCAAGGGTATATATTTTATTAATCCAAGAAAGACAAGGTAGGCTAAGAGATGACAAGGTACAGAGTTAATGCATAAACTAAATGTTTATAATTGTGTCCCAGATTACACTTTGACAACAAATGTGTATGCCATTTTGTTCTTGTCAGCACTCTTACTGTGTAATAGGTGTGGCAAGAAATAACAGGACTGGTGTCGTTAAAATTCTTTAGGCTACTATGAATTTTGAGAAATAAGAACATTAACACTTAAGAACAGAATAGAGCTTGCTTGTTTTTTTTCTACGTTACAAGGTAAAAATTTGTTTCTTAATGTGTGTTTTTATTTTGGCTTAGAAGAGGTTTGTGCCATCAACAGGAGGCGTTTAATCAAATCAGACAACACGAGGCATACAGAAATAACTTTAATTAAAAAGCTTACATAGAAGATTATAATATCAGACATGACAGAAAGATTTGAGTTTATTTGCCTGGACAACTTGGGTTTGTCTGGCTTTTCTTTTCTTTTTTTAAAAAATAAATGTACAGTAAAACTACAAACAAATTTGTCAGTATTGAATTTGAATTTTTTTTTCTCTTTAAAGGGACTAGTATAATTTTTGATCCCTAAAAAAACTTGTGTCAAATGCCCCAGACTAGGCCAGATGGCCAGGATTGTCAGTTATGTGGGTATTACAACTTGGATAACCTTTTTACATGAGAAAAAGCGATTCATATAAATCGTCATCAACTTTTACATAGAAAAAAATGATGTAACAGCTTCAAAAGGAATTTTCCTTAATATACACTCCAGTATCCAATATTGAAGCATTATCCTTTGAAAAATTTTAATTACCACTCTAGGATACAAGTAAGAATAAATGCTTGTTTGAATAGAGTAACCTATGGTAAGGAATGACCACATTAACTAAAAATACAACAATACTTTTTATCCTGATAGGAGTTTCCTGTTTGTTGTCCGTTTTAAGTTGGTGTCTTCTCTTCATGAGATAGATACATAAAGTAGATAAAACCCAAATGGGTTTTAGAAGATGGGATAATTTTAAAATACACCAATATTTAACTCTCCTTTGCTTGTCTTATTTTGTTAGGAGTGAATAGACAATTGTGTTTAGTCCAAGAGATATCAGTGATTTCAAATAAAGGAGTATTGTGTTATCTGGTATAGAAATTTCCATAAATATCTTCTACTACTGGTTAAACGTTAAAAAATTCCCTCTCCACAGTCAAGACTGTCAGATGTCCATTATCATTGGAAACCTGTGCTGCTTTATTACTACTGCAGCTTAATATTTCATAGGGTAGTTCATATATGCATTTTCAAGTGGAGTGGTCACTGCCAGTGGTTTTAAAACAATATATGTGTGTGTGTATGTATGTATGCTCTATACACACATATTTGTATATTCTAGTGTATTTCTGAGGCAATTTTAATGAATTACCATGTGTGTAGGAAAAAGGGCTGTCATTTGATGCACAGGCATGTGTGTATATATGTATGTATGTATGCATGTGTGATTGTGAAGTCTTTTAAAAGTTATTTACTCAGTAATGTGATTTGACATCAGATTGCAGCAGTTAATTTTCTGGTGCTTGTGATTTGCATCATAAACACAAATGACTAGCACTTGTCTGTAGGTGAAAAGCTAGTTACTCCTGCGGTTCAGAAAGGAAACAGAGACATACCTTGCCTGTTTCGTGAACAGCATGAAAGATTAGTACGTGCAGTGCACGCTCTCACTCTGGAATTGTGACTGGAGGATCTAGGGGATGGAGAACGGGGCTGATTTTTTTCTCCTGTTTTCCATTCAGTTACAGGGTTTTCTTAACCTGTTCCCTCCTGTCACCTATTTTTTTTAACATGCGTAAGTCCTAGACCAGAGGGTGTGTACTCTTCCATTCCGTCTGCCTGCCTTTTTGGATGGTGGCCATTCTCTGATGCGTTGGGACAGAAGACTTCACTGAGGAAACTTGGGCTTGATTTTTCAGTCGGATCGTTTTTTTCATCTTGGCATAATAAGGCTTCTGTGTCTTCATCCTTCAGTGGAAAAACCCGTCGTTCCCACCACAAAGACTGAAAGAGAAAACATTTTCAGTTAAGTTTCAACTAGTTTGTTTTGTTTAAATTCATGTATCAAGTGATCTGTAAATGTCAATTTTGTCATAACTATTGTTCTCTTCTTTAGCACATAAATGGGCAGATTTTCATTTGAACCTAAATATCTCGCAACTTAGAATGGAACACAGTGAGAATTGTTTAGGGACTTTGGGATTATCTCTTCACTTTGCCTCTTCCAAGAGGGGGAAGCGCTGCCCCAGGGCACTGGGCCTCATCTTCAGCCTGGGAGCACTCTGGGAACGCCTATTACAGACGCCTATTGACTTCTCCGAGCTTTCTACAGTTTGCTTATTTCTCTAGTCTGCATTCTCGACATGGTTCTTTTCAAACACATACTTATGAAGAAAAGTGCGTGAACTTTATGGATGCAGTGGTGGAAAACACTTCCCTTGAGGTTAGAACGAGATTATGGGGAGACAGGTAAAAATCTTCTGTAAGAGGAGGAAGGGAAACAGCAGCTAACAATTTACTGTGTGCCAGGTGCTATTCTCTTTAATCAGATTTGTTTTGTAATGCAACTTTGATAGGGTCCTTTTTTCCTAAGATGTAAGTGAGCAGGTGAAATCAGGTACTGCCATGTTACATAAAAAGGTAAGAAGGGATCTGTGGTTAGTGCTGGCACGGGGAGGCGGGGAGGCGGGTCCTCCGACTCGTACCCAGCATTCTAGACTAAGAGTCGAAATGAATTTGTTACGTCAGGTTGGAACCTTTATTTGCAACCAGCAGTTTCTGCAGACAAGTTTAAAAAAGACTGAAAGGCAATTAAAAGGGGGTTTAAATAATGATGTATATTACACTTACCTTGATTTCTTGACTTTCGCTTAATGAAGGTGAGCCCTGTGCACTCAGATCCTGGCTCTCTGAAGGAAGCTCAGCAGGACTGTCAGCACAGAGCTGGCCACCACTAAAGTCAGGAGGGTATTCTTTCAAAAGCAGGTCCTGTCCTTCGACATTTTTACTGTAAGCTCTAGCAAGAAAATATTTAATTATTTGTTACTTCTTGAGGTCCTAAGGTTTTATGAACAACCCAAGGTGTCATTAAGTCAATTTAACTTGGTAGGTTTTCTTTAAATAGTTCTGCCCAAAAGATTTTTAAAAATTCATCTGCTTATCTTAATGCTGTTATCTTCATATCTCAAAGACTTAAGTAGTACTTTATGAAATCTTTTGCCAGATTATAATAGTGGTTTTGGTTTGCATTTTTTTTAAAAAAAAAGGACAAGAAAGGACAGTTATTTGACCCTTGTAGTTTTTCTCTGATTAATGTCATCCACAAAGGACTCATTCACACTTTCCTCTGTACTTCTGGAAAGTTACATGTCTGGAATGTGGAGAAAAATAAGAATTGAATCTCATGTTAGAGACCTCATAACTCTTAGAATAAGGATCTACAACAACTCTGGCTATCTTGAGACTTAACCAGAGAAATGTGTTTTAACAATACTAATTAAGTGAGGGATGCTCCCTCAATAAAGTGACTACCAGATTTCAACATGATTTTGCTTTTTGACTTTTGGCTATATTAAAAAATACTCAAACGTAAACAATAAAATACCAGAGATTTTCTCAAATATATAATTACTAATTATATTTTTAGGATTTCTACCCCCTTCTGTCAAAGTCATGTTCAAATTATTTTGACTGTTTGCTTTTTAGACTGAACAGTTTCCTTGAGTCTGTTTTTTAGAAGAACATTGTTTAAGTGGCTGTGTTACAATAGATTACCCGGAGTCTAATCCCTAGTGTTACGTCCAGTATTACAGCACACTGAAATGACCTACATTATCTAGGGAGAATTTTCACATTATTTAATTAAATCTACTATTCCAGAGGCTGACAACGTGAGAAATAGAGTGGTGTAAAACACAGAAACTCCTTTCATAAATAGCCCACATAGACTTTGAAGGTAAGCTCAGTAAATGTAGTGTTTTGCTTCTAGTGCCCAAATAGCTAGTGGTACATTGGTCTGTTTTCTTCCTTTTTCGTGGGCGCTCTCATTATTCATGCAGAATTTTTGTTGATTCTGTGGTTTTGGGTTTTAAATTTATGACACCTGCCTGTTGTTTCTTCTCTGCCACTTGCTCTGTTCCCAGAGTGACCATCTGGCTTGCTCTCTCTCTTCATATTTCTTGTGTCTTAAAGAGAAGACTTCATCAGAAAGATCTTCTATCTGTAATTAGAAATAAAAAGTTTTGCTTTTATCAGAAACATTTTGAAATATTACAACAGGTTTCAAACAATTCCTCATCAAGAGAACAATAGGAAGAAAACTCTAAAATAAATGCATTCTAGCTCGAGAGAGTAAGTGTTACGAAATGAGCTTCAAATTCCTAAAAACAAGGAGTTAAAAACTTTTTAAAAATTTTTGTGTCATGGTTCAAGACTTACCTAGGTTACAAATAGGTTCACAGTGCTTTGCATTTCCATAAAATATTCTTAATACTTTATTTGTTCAGAAGTTTGTATTGATTGCCCATTATTGATTACACTGTTCTAGGAACATGTTAATATCAAAGAAAAGTGAAACTAATCAAGATAAATGAGAATTTAGCAAATGACTTATCTGGAGTTCTCAGACTGGTTCTGGTAGTTTAAGAATTTCGGTTTCCTGGCTAGGATCATTCAGAACTAGGGAAGAGTGCATTTAAAGAGGAAAAAGCATGCGGCTGGCCCTGTGGTGTGGTGATTAAGTGCAGCACGCTTCACTTTGGCTGCCCAGGTTTGCAGGTTCGGATCCTGGGCACAAACTTACACCACTTTCAAGCCATGCTGTGGCAGCGACCCACATACAAAATAGAGGAAGACTGGCACAGATGTTAGCGCAGGGTGAATCTTCCTCAGCAAAAAAAAAAGAAAAAAAAAAGGAAGATTGGCAATGGATGTTAGAGCGAATCTTCCTTAACAAAAAAAAAAGAGGAAAAGGTATTAAACAGGAAATTTTGCTAGTTGAAAAACACAATCAGTCGGCATAGAAAGACTGTGACAGAGACAAAATGTCTTCTATTTAATACTGCTTCCACAGATGATCACTTTGGAATTAGTGTGGTTATACAGTATTTTCCCCTGTAACTGTTGTCTTCTTCTAAGTTTTACTCATACAGGTCCATGGTCCCTTTTCTTGCACTTCCAAAAATCTGAAAAAACAAGTTTTCATAATTCTTTCGTGACATAGCCTGATCTGAAATGATGTGAGGCTGTTCCACTTCCTATAAATATTTCACTTATAGAAACATGAATATTATGAGAACTGCTCTAGGCTCCCTACGTGTATTACATGATGTACATACCACATTACTTTTCTAAAATCCAAAATTTTCCAAATTCAAAAGCAATTTGTTTCCAAGATTTTGAATATGGCATTGTAGGCTTGAATATTAAGACTAAGTCTCCTCACACAGAAAAATATGACTAATACTGGGAATGAATGTAGACTATCTTAACAACTCATGTAAGCAAATGGTATATATAGATATCTATTTTTTTTAAAGATTTTTATTTTTCCTTTTTCTCCCAAAGCCCCCCCAGTACATAGTTGTGTATTTTTAGTTGTGAGTCCTTCTAATTGTGGCATGTGGGACGCCACCTCAGCATGGCCTGATGGGTGGTGCCATGTTGGTGCCCAGGATCCGAACCAGCGAAACCCTGGGCTGCGAAGCAGAGCGTGCGAACTTAACCACTCTGCCATGCGGCTGGCCCCGCAAATGGTATATTTTATTTTTGCTTTTCTTTATTCATTATTGTCTTTGTAGTCAAATTTTCACAAAAACGTTTTTCTAATCAAATTAACATCCTTAATGAAGAACTTTCTTTTCATAAGTGAAAGGAAAAAGTCAGTGGACGTTAAAGAGCTTCTATTTCCCTTTAGTTCTTCAAATATCAAGTTAAGCAGGCTTCGTGATAGATAAAGTGTAGTGATCCCGTAAGTGAAAGCAACTTACCTCTTCTTCACCTAAATTATATTCATCCAGAGGCTGAAGAACAGTCATCCTCCAGCTGTTGAAGATACAAACCAATATCAAATAGCTTTTGTTAATCTGTCTAAATGTAGCAATTTTATTCTCTAAGGACAGCTAATGCAGTATTGTTTTCTTTCCTTGGGACTTCCATAATTCGAATGGTTGTACTTTAATACTTTGTTTTTTTAAAGAGAGAAAGTATTTGTATTATGAGTAAAGGACAAGTTAAAAATGAGGCTTTCCTTTGGGATTTAGTGAACAGTGTCCTGCATCACTGCATTTTATACCTAAGAATGTATTAATTTAGAATTAAGTCAGCAGTATGCTGATAAACTGGCTCAGAAGAAACCACCCTGATTTGTAGCATGTGCCAGTTTCTTTGTGCGGAGACTCGCATCATGGCCTCTTGAGGTTAACAACTGCATCACAGGACTCTGTTAAACAACCAGCTCAGCCAGCCAGCTTCCGCCGACCACTGTAAGTTCCAAACGCTGTTCGATACAACAGCATAACCACAAAAGTTATTCCTTACTCATGTAGAACATATCACAGATTCTCTGTGGGAATTTTCATGATACCTCCTAGAGTATTAAAGGTTCTCCTAATACCTCAAAGTAATTATGAAATTAGCTAGAATCGAGACAGGCAGGAATTACTGTAGTTGTCACTCAGCTCATGTCTCTTTCTGGCCTCTTCTATCGCTTCTTCCTGGTGATAGATTCATATTCTTAAGAAAATTAAGAAACTTTCATCATTGTTAAAAGAGTGTGACTCACTTTGCTGCCAGTAGGCAGCGGATCTGTGTATGGCATTGAAGGACCTCCACAGTCTGGTTCTAACTTCTTTTCTACCTTTAACTTCCTTTATCGTCCTCCACAAAACGTCCTCTGACGGAGACTTGCACCTTTGTCCCTGCGCCTTTCTCGCGGTCTCCCTATGGAAATACCCTCGCCGTCCTCCCTCCTCCATGGACGTCCTCCCAGACTTTCCCCTCCTCTTTCTATTTGATGTGCTTATTGCTGACTCGGCAGTACATCAAAATCTGATTTTTCTTTTCACAGGTGTCACTGTCCTATGGTATGAATACTCCATGCAAAGGAGTTGCTTTCTTTGAACTCTTTGCAACCTTGTGCAGACCTCCATGTTAAAGAGCAAGGATGGTTACTGTAATTGTTTCCATCCCTAAAGTATCTTGTGCTATATACCTAATAGATATCTAATCTCACTGAATGAAACAAAGACTCCAAGAGTGCTAAAGGAAATAAATCCTAGGAATTCCCAATTCTTAATAGAAACTGGGAAGTACAGTTGTGATACTAAATGGCACTTTTTTCCAATGTGAGTAATGGAAAGGTTTGTTTCACCATTTTCCCTCCGTGGTTATACAAGTGGAAGGAATAGGGAAGGGGGCATCTTCTTTTCAGTAATTAAAATTTTAACTTCACTCTAAAAGTTTAAGTTTATTCAAGAAAAAGAAGGAAGAAAAAAGATAAAAAGATGTATTATACATACCTTGGAGTAAGTATTTCCTTATATTGGAGTTTCTCTAACTTAGCTGGGGCCACTAATGACATGGGAATCACAATATTATCTATGTCATAGGAGCTCTCACTTCGCAATCTCCGTCGTGCAGTATTCTGCAAAATAGGATTACAGCAGGATCTAGTTAGCTGTGATGATACTCTCCTTTCATGAGTTATAGAAAGAGAATATGGCAGTGCACCTGTGACAAGTTGTATAAATACATTGTTATAAAATGTTAAGAAAAACAGGAAAGCATACCTGTCTTCTATAAACCAACACAATCCTTTTGGGCAGGTATGCAGTGTACGTTTGTGTGTGCACCCATACAAGCCTATTTTTAATAGCATAAAAAAAATGAATGCCTTAACATGCAAAACTCTTATCAGAAAAGATTAGCATAAAGCACCCTAGATGTCAATGGGATGATCGTTTAACAGACTCTCTTTATTAGGAGAGTCTCTGAAATATTTGGTGAGCCATTTAGCAAAGATGATTATTACAGTCTTCATGTATGTGTTCCTGGTCCCTGGGCATCACACTGGCCTTTGTAAACCCTCCCACCTTTCGACTTCTCCTCCCTGACCAGATAAAACACGGAACAGAATGAGAACAATAAGTGCTGAAATCTTATTAGCAAGATGATACTTAGCCTCAGATTAAGGAGTATGGATGGTTATGATTAAGTTTTTAACACAGAAAAAAAAAAGCCATAACCAAGGGTTAGTGAACAATTAACTCCCCAGTAAAAAAGTTTAATCAAATGTGTTGCTTCCTAATAAGACAGTTCTAAATATGCTAATATGTACTAGTAAATAAAGCTGTAATAGATTAATAAAATATTCCATATTTTTTTCAAATCAGCTGGTTTAAAAGTCTATAAATAAGCAATTTTAGAGTTCAGTATACAAAAAACCTACTTGTGATGATGAATTCTGGGTTCTTGATATAACGCTGACATTAGTAACAGCAGTAAAATTGCTGTGGGATCCTGGTTCTGTAGGTTGAAAAGCAAATTCTTCAAACCTAGTTCTTTCTCCTGCCATGGAGAGATCCATTGAGAATGTCATACATTACACATGACTGATAGGTATTAGAATTATTTTCCTAGTTAGGTGACATTTGATTCCTTATCTGTTCATTGGTTTCACTACTTTTAAAATTCATGTATCAAAAAACAAAACAAAATTTAAGGAAAAAAATATCCACAGTCCTGGCACAACTATTTCCATTAGTTTTTAGTCCAATACATCGCATATTCCTTTTTTAATAAGCTCACCTCTCCTTTACTCTGTGCATGTTTCTGTAACTTGGAGGTTGACCCTCCAAGACTTAACCTCTTTAATTTTCTTATCTATTCCCTCATTTTTGCACATCTTTGACTTTGTTATACTTTCTGGGAGATTTCCTTAACTTCTGATCATTCTATTAATTTTTGAAAGTTTTCTATTAAAGTACTAATTTCTAAAAGTTCTTATTCTCTGTTACTCTATTTTTTTTAAATAGCATCCTGTTCTTAGTTCATGGATCAAGTTTTTCTCTCAGGATGTTAATTAGTAGTTTAGTTCTATTGTTGGTATTTTCTGAGTTTCTTCCACCTTCCTTTTTTCTGTTTTGTTTTGGTTCCCTGTTTGTGAGTATATATTTATTCATTTATTTACTTCCCTTGTTTATTTTACTTTAGTACAGATCTTAAAAAGTAGTATTTTTCTGTGTAATGTAAAATCTAATACGCAATCCACATGTACATTTCTCAAGTTGTTAAAAAACGTCCTCTATGGGTCGTAGTTTCTTCACATCAGTGCACATGCTGAAATTGGGTATTGTCTCCTAAGTTTCTTATAATTTATAAGAGTTCAATTTCATGACATTGACTTGTTAAATAAGACTAGACCAGGTGTCCTGCACTTTAGGGAGCTGTCTGGTTACTTTGTAGTATAGCATTTTACTTGTTCTTCTGTCCCTGCATTTGCATCAAACACTAAGTTAGAACTATCAGTTCAAGTAAAACATTTTACATTTTAGGTAATGTGTATTTCATAGTGCATCTTGTTAAGAGATACAAGTTTCCCTGTTTCAGCACATGTGTATGAAAGTTCCTCAAAAGCTAGGTGACTCTGGTTGTCTTAAGAGTGAAGCACTAAAAAGCATAGTGAAGTCTCTGGACGAGGGGTTGGAGTTGGTTAATTTTGTGCCGCACTAGTTTATGAGACAGTGATTATCGGGTAGTGAGTTGGTCTATTATGGTGGGATTACTGGAGACAGCAGAGATAAATGTGTTAAATCAATCACGTATAAATCCAGTCCAGTACATCTTGGATGAAATTAGTTTCTGATTTATTGGTACATTGACATATTACATCTGGGGAATACCTGACCAATGTATATAGTGTTATATCCAGTGGAACAATGAACAAGAACCAAAAGAGTATATAGATAATTTGCTATTTAATATATTTCCAATTAAGTTTTTTTAATCATTATTTGCAATAATTATGGAAACTATCCTGTCCCAAATTCCTACAATAAACCCCACCTTGTATTACTAGAAGATATTTCTGTTGATCATCTTGGAACTATAAATTCCTAAGGGAAACTGAACTAGGTGGTTGAGTTACCTTTGAATCTCATCTAATTTCTCAAAATTCTGAAGAAGCTTCAGTGAATCGACACCTCCACAGTAGGTACCAGAAATGGTAATAAATTTCTTTAAGGCAACCTTGTACTGACATATTTTGAGTCAAGAACAGAACCTTGGAGACTAAGTCCTGTCCAGGAGGACAGCTGGTAGAAGACAACTCGAGGCAGGGAACATAGGAAGGAAATCCTCAACTGCCACACAGTGGATGGAAGCCCAGTCCACACGTAATTCTGAATTGACTACATGAATATGCTGTCTAATGCCCGGAGGACTGTGGATGTTCTGTGCAGCGACTCTTCTGGATTATTGACTCCCACGGGGCAGGAGTTCTTTGGACATCAGGATTTTTTATTTTCAGTTTTTAGTTCTAGTGCTCATATCCTCATTTTAACCTACCTAATGCTGTTTCACTCAAGTGTCTTTTCTTCCTTCCCTGTAACAGCTGTGCAGAAGATTCTGACCTTATCTGAGGCTTGCAAGTAGGAGAATACCCATTCCTCCATTGATTCAGAGAAGTATTATGTACTAAAACAAATGGAAAGAAAGGAAATGTGATGTTTTAGTTCCTTAACACAAACAGATAATGAACATGTTAATCTGTCTTTACTTATATAACATTGCAGAATTTTAATATACTAGATCAAAATTACATGCAATGAAATACTGATGTATCAAGATGGAATATTCCTAAACTGAAAATACCCAGAGTAAGATTTCTTAAAAACATCTTCAGGAAATGCCCAATTTCCTGTATTTGCTTCATTACTTGAAGGGGATGAAAAGGAAAAGTGATCTGTTCTCAAAGTCTTAATTGCAGATTTTTATAGAGACGATTGGTTCACATCTGTAAATCCTGGCTGAATTTGATCTGGATCTGTGTGTTAGTTTCTGCTCACCCTTAAATCTGGAGATAATTCAGGACCAAGTAAGACTCTACAGAATCAGAACAGACTGGGACTTCTGGAGAGCCAGGACCGATTCCATCCACCTCTGAGAGTGACTAGCACCATTCTTTCACTGTTTTAAAACAATGAGTTTTTTAAAACTTTAAGTCACTTAATATCTCTTTGCCTTGGTTGTCGTATCTATAAAATAGGAATAAGAGCAGCTATCCTGGGATTATGAGGATTAAATGAATTGATTTCTGTAGCAGACATTAGAAGGATATCTGACATGCTAAGAATTCATTAAATGTTAGTTTCATCATGATTATTGTTGTCTGTGTGAACCCCAAGTTTCCAGTACTACATTAGTAACCAAACTGGCTTCTTTCTTGAAGGGTTTGGAGATGTGGAAAGGAATAGAAAAAAGAAATGTAGGCTGAAGTGCCGGATTCTCACCAACACTGGAAAAAAGAGCATGGCCTACCACCAGTGACCTGGGCTTTGATTTCAAGATGGCAAAGCACCCTACAAATGTTAGACAAAATTTTTACATACACAGACACATGCACAGACCTGCCCATACACATCCACATTAGCAAGCGAAAAAAGGAACTTGTAAGTAGAGCAGAATTTGTGAGGAATCTCTGAAAGACTAATACCAATATGGAATTTGACTGAAGAGCAAACTCTGCGCAGGAGGCCGTGGGAAAGTACTGCCAGAAAGATGTGATCAACACCAAAGGGGCTGCAGACCTGGAGGAAAGGGAAACTGGGAGCAGGACAGCTGTCTGGTGCAACTGCAGGCTGGCTACACGTGTTGATACCTCAGGCGGGCTTCTTGATGAGATTTACAGATAAAATCTGAGAGCCTTGAAGAGAGAAATGGGTGGAGAGAGAAGGCAATGTGCCCCACTTTGAAACCTGCCCTGCCCCTCCCCAGCTGCCTCTGAAAATAGGAGTGCAAATCGGCCCCTTCCATGACAAGGGTCCCATAAGTAGCTGTGGCAGGTTAGCCTTAACAGCGACTCTCTCCTGTAAATACGAGCACACAACCAGGACTCCAAAACATGCTGACACCAAGAAACAAATGAGGTGCAAACAAATGCAAGAACCATCTCAAGAAATAGTTAATGGGTTCACAGAATACACGTTAATAGGTTTTTAAAGCAACTAATATTGCCTAGGGAAATCTCAGAAATGGAGTATTGCTTAAATTTAAAAACAAAATAATCACTAACTGAGCTGAATAGAATGGACACAGCTGAAACTGACAGTCATTGGGTTGGAAGAGAAATCCACAACTCAAAGGAATAGAATGATGGAAAACATGAAAGAAAAAAAGGAAGACAAACTGAATTGGGGTAAGAGAGGAGAGGATAGAATGAATGGGAGGCAATATTCAAAGAAATGATAGCCAAAAACGTTTTCAGAATCAATGATGTTAACCGTAAGATTTCAGGGAGTGTCAAACAAAGCAAATGAAAAAAAAATTATACAGTACATGACAATGAAGCTATCCTAAAAGTTACCAGAGAAGGAATAAAAAGTACTGCAAAGGAATGAGAATGAGGTTCACATGAAGCAAAACTAGATACAGGAAAACTGACTTCAAAGAGCTCAGGGGAAATGTTAGGCAGAATTCTAAGATGGCCCCCAAGATTTCTTACCACCCCAAAAAAGGAATGCGGAGAAAGATGTTAAATAGGAAAATAAGATGGCAGGCGTAATTCTCAACTCATTGCTAAGAAAGGGTAACCAGAATTGTGAGAGGTTTTAAAATGTGTATGTGCCTGGCACATGTGGTTCCAGTAGTGCCTACATTTGTTTGAATGGAAACATTTTTGGAGTATTGAAGCAAATTCCAGACAATTTACCCTTCTAAAAGCTATTCACCACTCTCCTTAAAGCACATCTAACTTTGTGAAGAAAACAACCTTCACATAGGTGATACTTTTTATTGAGTTTTACTCAAAAATTTTCTTTACATTTATCATTCTTACTCTTTTGTATCTTGCAAGGTTACAATGGACTCTTGAAACAGTAGGAAATACATGATAATTCAGAATCTAACTGCACACATTCTGCTTACCTGTCTGTCTATAATCACCCTCCCAGACCTTCCATTTTTGCTTTCCCAAATCCTCTCCTGGATTCCATCCTAAAACCCCACCTTGACCAGGTCTTGTATTTCTCCTGCTTTCCCTTTCTCCCTTTCATTCATTCATTCAGCAGCTTTGTAGAGAGCCAGTTACACGCTGGGCACTGTTACAGCTCGGGGTCACAGTGGTGAGCAAAAACAGCCACACTCCCTGCCCTTGATGTAATTTACAAGCACTATCTTAAAAACTGCAACTAATGTGATAGAGAAGTACTATTGAGAGAAGTTATGAGAGTACATAATAGAGAACTAGCAAGAGAGCCCTAGCAAAGGCTTCCCCAAATAAAGTGATCGATTTCACAAATGAACAGCAGCAGCTGATGGCAAAGGGAAGGAAAGAATGGTACATCCAATGGCCCAAGGCAGCAGGGAGCAGGGTGGATCTGGCACCTGAACAGCAGCTGGTAGCGGAGAGTAAGATGTGAAAAACTACCAAAAGGCAGCCAGCCTAGGCAGGCAGAGTTTTAGGGGTCCTCTTTGGAGACTTGTCTCTGTCAAATGTTTCAAAGGAATGGAGGTGGGGATCAGGTGTGAGAATTAGATTTGCATTTTGAAAAGATCACAGGGATTGGAGGGAAAAATTGATTAGACTATTTCAGCAGTATAGATGAGGGATCATTAGATTGGACTGTGAAAGGGGTAGAAAAGATAGAGCAGCAGATTTGAAATGAGATGGTGTTGACAATTGGTTTAGATATGAAGTGTGGGTGAAGGCTGAGTCCTAGATTTCTGGCTTGCTTATGTGGGTTGTGCTATTCTTTTGCCTGGCCACGCTAAAAAACAACTTTATTTTGACATAATTTCAGACTTAAGAAAACCTGCAATCGTGCAAAGAACTCCTATATTCTCTTTACTCAGATTGCCCAAATGTTAACATTTTGTCACATTTGCTTTATCTTTTTCAGCTCTGATGAAATGAAGTTGCGGACATGATGCCCCTCTACTCTGAATACCTCCATATGTTTCAATAAATACATCCAATATCTCAAAAACAAGTGCATTCTCTTATATAGCCACATGGTCAAAATCCAGAAATTAATACTATTAGGTAACTGTAGACCTTATTCAAATTTCACCAATTATTCCTATACTATTCTTTATAGAAAACTCTGCTCACTCGCATTCACTTGTCAGGTCTCCAAAGTGGTCTTGTGTCCGAAGCAGTTCCACTGCCTTGTCTCTCATGACTGAATATTTTGATGAGTACGGACCCTTAAGTTGGCTTTATCTGGTATTTCTCATGATTTGCAATTAATCTATTCACTCTTCAGTCCTCTACAATTCTCCTTTTCCTACTTCCTTTTTACCTGAAGTCAGCAGTGCTGTTGTAATTGCCAACTCTAACGGACACTACAGATCAAGTCCAAGCTCTGGCAGAGCACACAAACCTCCATCTACTCGCCTTCACAGTTTACCCTGCATGAATCCCAGGCGAAGCGTATACCTGAACACATCACACCATTGTAAAACCTTATCATTCAATAAGGGCCAACAATATTTGAATCACCTGGGATCTTGTTGGAAATGCAGAATGTCAGACCCTATTCCACTTACTGAGTCTAAGGCTATTCCCCAAGTCATTTGAGAAGCTGATTTGGAACACTTCCCTCTTCTTCCTCTAACTTGGAATGAAGTACATAAAGTTACCGTTGGTATCGTCTTCCTGGAGTTCCTTGTCTTGTTCTTTTTCCCAACAGCCTTAACATTCTCCCTCTGCCTTCCCTTAGGCAGGATTATCCACGCCCTCTTTTTAGAACACCTGTATCGTGTCTGTGCTCATCACATCATTTAATAGTTATTGGTGTGTCTGTTCCCCTGTAAGATTTTAATTCCTTTGACTTCCTGTGATTCTCCCTTGATTCTTCAGCACTTAACAGTCTGCCTGCCCGCAGAGTTTGCTCAATAGATGCTGGACTCTAGTTTCACTTAATTCTGTAGAAATCTTTAACAGTAAAAATAAAAAACTAATGACCAGCTATTTAAGACAGATATTTACATAGGATGAAAACTAATTAATGCTTAATTATCTGTGTTGGGAATGGTATGGAATGAGAAGATAGGGCAGAGACTGGGATACAAAAGAATGCGTCACTGATTTGCCTAATATGACTGCAGCATTCAACTCAAATGTCTTCCATTCCTAACTCTTAATTTCCTATTACTAACATGTCATTACATTGTTGATACATAACTATTAATTTTGTGTCTAACACATTTACATTGCCCTTTTTATTTTTTGAGGAAAATTAGCCCAGAGCTAACATCTGCCACCAATCCTCCTCTTTTTGCTGAGGAAGACTGGCCCTGAGCTAACATCCGTGCCCATCTTCCTCTCCTTTATATGTAGGATGCCTGCTACAGCATGGCTTGATAAGCAGTGCATGGGTGCCTAAGTCCGTGCCCAGGATCTGAACTGGCAAACTCCAGGCTGCCAAATCGGAACGTGTAAACTTAACCACTACGCCACTGGGCCAGCCCCGGCCCTATTTTTTAAGTCAGATAAATAACACCAACATTAGAGGAAATGTAATCATCTAACCTCACTCATCTCACAGCATATAACTTCATTTTTGCATATTCCTTTTCAGTCATACGTACATACATTTCATATTCATATTCCAAATGTTACAATTTCTACTTGCATATATGTATAATTGTAATTTTTTAATCTGATAACTTCATTATTTTTTAAGATGCTTGTCTAACATTCCTCTGATTAGAGACAGTACCATTTAACTGTTCCTTAGCTGTTTAGACCTAATTGTTATATTATTTCTATTATGGACATTCTTAAAATAATCATCTTTGTGCATACATTTTTTTCTTTTTTTAAAAAAATTTAGTCTCAGGATAAATTTCAGGGAGAATTATATCATGAAAAAACATAACCTATATTTTCCTGTACTTATTTAGTCTTTTCCCCTAAGTATAGGCAATTCTTCCTTGTCCTTAGTGCTTTCATTTTTTTTCTCTCTTTAAATGTTTTTTTTTTGTTGTTATTCAAATACGGTAACATTGGTTTATAACATTATATAAATTTCAGGTGTACATTGTAATACAGTTTTAATTCTGTGTAGACTACATCATGTTCACCACCCAAAGCCTAATTACAGTTCGTCACCACACACATGTGCCTAATCACCCGTTTCCCCTCTAGTAACCACTGGATAACTTCTTACTGTGGAAAAATTTCAACAAACACAAATGGAGACTAGAATAGTGAACTCCCATGCACCTGTCATTCAGCATTAACAATTTCAAACTCATGACCAATCTTGTTTCATCTCCCCACCCACTGCTTTTTGCTGAGTATTTTACAGCCAATCGCATACACCCTATCTTGTCATCTCCATATGTGTCACCTTGACTCTAACAAACAGGTCAAGTGTGTGTGTGTGTATTTATGCAACCACACCATTACTACAGCTAACAAAATTAACAGTTCATTAGTACCCAACAGCCAGTCCATGTTCACATTTCTCTGGTTGTTCAAAAACTGTGTTTGTGTGTATACAGCTGAGTTGTTCAAATCAGATCCCAAAAAGGGTTGCATTTGGTCGACAGAAGAATAAACACTTGTACATAGTCATAAATATACCATATGTAGAAGGAAAACTTTGTTTTTATATAATTTAACATTCTCTGATTTCCCACCTTTACATGAACTTACATAATAAAAGCTATGTATTCCACTGTGGTAAACAGTCAACCACATCCCTATTGTGCTCTTCAACTTGCTCCCAGTTTTTCACGATTACAAATAACATTAAGATGAATATATCTGTGCATCAAGGCGGTTGCATATTTAGGATTAGACTAGGTTCTTGGAAATGGATTGCTGGATCAGAATAGAGAACCAACAGTTTAGTAAACATTCATTGTGAGGAAATAAATGCAGTTTTTTCCTCAATGAGTTTATTTAAAAAACACGTAGTTTAAAGGCCTTGTCATGCGTTTCAGAGTACTTCCCAAGAGACTTCTATCAATTCTTAATGCTACCTGAAATCTTTGACGGTCCTGTTTTCACTACATAGTCTTGCCAGAATTGATTATAATGTTTAAACTTCTTAATGTAATCGGAAAAAACAGTAAATATTTAGCACAGTGTCTGGCACACAAGCGCTCAGTGAATGTTAGCTATTATCGTTTCCCTTATCATTAAATACACCTGGTTTTCCTTCTAATTCTTTGAAGATATTTTTAAGATTTCACTCTTTAATCATTTGGAATGTATTTTAATTTTCATCCATCTTACATTTGTTTTAATGTGCTCTATGAGGCAGAGATCTCATTTTATTTTATTTTTTTCCAGAAAGTCATTATTTAATGCCACTGATTACGGAAGAAACCTGGTTGTTTAAAGCATGGACTCTGAGCCAGACTGGTTGGATTTGAATCCTGGCTCAACTGTGATTGGGGGAAGTCAGTCAAGGAGAAACATAATAACAATACCTACCTTATAGGGTTGTGCAGATTAAAGTAATTAACAAATATAAAGCCTTTTGGCCAGTGCTGGCGTGTAAGGAATGCTTCGTAAGAACTGTTTGTTGGCACAATTTACTGATCAGGCCATCCTTTCCACACTGATAGGAAATACCACCTTTATCATATAATGAGCCCTTGGGTCTATCGCTAGGCTTTGATTAGTTCCCTTACTCTGGCTTCCATCAGTACCACAACACTTTAATAGTTACAGCTTTATAAATATACATAGATACATACTTATGTATATTTATAAATATACATATTTATAAATACAAATATACAAAGATACAGATGATATCTGACATCTTATTGATCTTTTAAAAATTTTATTGGCTATTTAACTTTCTCTCTGAGATAAACTTAAGAATAACTTTGTTCCAAAAGAAGAATATGTGATTCTGATTAGATTCTGATTAGAATTACATTATAAATTAATTTGGGGAAAATTGACATCTTAAGTCACAATGCTATCTTCTGACAGGAACAGGGTATTTCTCTCCATGTAGGCACACCCTCATGTTCCTCAGTAAACTTTTGAAGTTTTCCTCATGTAGGTCCCTGAAGTTTAATCTTAGATATTTCATATTTTCATTATCAGTATGTCTAGGATAATTTAGTCTTTTACATATTCTAACTGGTTATTACTGGCATTTATTTAAGCTACTGATTTTCATAAATGTATTTTAAAATCTCCTACCTTTCAGGACTCCAGTTCTAACAGGCATGCAGGTAATTCTTGAATTTTTGAGGTAGATGATTATTTCATCTGGAAATGTATGACTTTTTGATGTTGAGAAGATTTTAGCTTTGCACATAGTCAAAATATGTTGATGTTTTTCTGTCTTCTTCTGATTGCTTCCAAGCATAGACAATGTCCCCACACTCCCATTCAGAGTACTCATAAATGTTTCATTATAAATCTTCAAGTTTTTTGTAATTTTAGTGTTTTATGTAAAATTCATGGAACCAACTAGAATTTATTCTGATACATGATATGAAATAAGTGTGAAACTCTACCCTCAAATACTAACAATACTGTTTATTGACTAGTTCTCCACTTTCTTATTGATTTACAATTCTTCCCTTATATAATAAATAAGCTTTGTCTCCGCCTCATCATGGATCCATTTTCCTAAATGTAAGCAAAACAGAATCTACACCAAGAGATTTTTGTCATGTTTCCATATGTGGTTAGGCTAGATTCTCTCAAGATTTTTTCTAGCAATTCCTTTTACAGTCTCCTTTTTATTCATCCCAATGGGCTTAAGAATTGTTTTGTTAAGTTAACCAAATTCTATTACAACTTGAAGCTACATTGCATTAAATATGTAAACCAACAGGAAGAATTAATATCTTTATTAATCTTACCATCCAGGAATGCTGTTTCTCCATGTTTATTTAAATTTCTATTAATTTATCAATAACATTTCATAATTTTCATTCAATAAGTATCACACATTTATTTTAGGATTACTCCTGTAAATTTTTCTATTTGTGTGTGGTGTGATTTTTAAAACATGAATATTAAAAATTAAGGATTTACATTTATTCCTTTGTTGAATTTTATTTCCTTAGAAAGCAAAAATAGTATATGAAAGATGTAAACGGTATATAAGTACAAGATTTGTCAATGACATACCAGGTGATGGAGATATGATACAGTCTCCTACAAATTTATTTTCTGCAAGATCTCCTTTTACTTCAGTCTTTTTAAACAGTGTTTCAAAATGAAAATGAAGAGGCACATCTGGAAAAATCAAGTAAAAGTACTTTCAGTGAGCACCACTCTCCACAGACTCTAATATTACGATTGCTTAATTTCTATAAATAGCACATAAACTTAGAAAAATAAGCAAAAGCTTAAAAAGTCAGAACTATCAGAAGTGGCAAAATGCTGTTTCCAAGCATATCAGTAGCAGTGTTTTCGAAATTGCTGGTCATATGTAGTAAATAAAAGCTAATGATGAACAACTTCATAAACTAAAACAGTACAGAAGATGAACAAAATTACAAATGTTAATAAATATTCACAGATGAAACAAATGTACCCAAGAGTTTAAGAAAAACATCCAACCAAACCTGGCTGACTCCAAGTCCATTCCACCACACCCCCACAAACTGCATTCGAATTAATGAGGGTTCCAAATGATAGAATTACATGGTTTTAATTACTTGAGGAGAAACCACTATAATTCAGATGCAACCTTTTATGAAAATATCGTTTCACAATCCCTTACTTTACTAATATTATGAATCACAAAATGAATCTACTTTACAAAGATTAAAACCTATTGACAAATGCTCTCTTCCTTTGAATAGAGACTTCGATGCTCAATTTGCTGTTTACATTCTGTACTCTCACAACCAAAAGAGAAGCTAAGTAACAAAGTAGATGTGCTTCACATTTATTAATTAGTTTTTTTCCTTCAATCAATGTAAAAGCAAAATCAACTTAAAAAGCATTTATTAATGAGACACCCAAATGTTTTCCTAAGAAACAAAGAAATATTTTATAAAGCAGTTGATACATTGAAAGTTTTGCTACTGATAGAAGGTATTTCATTTTAAGAAAATTAATTATGAACACATAAATCATGATAGACCCAGGAAAGGTCTCAATTTTAAACAAAGTATCTCCTTCAAATGATGTACTTTAATGGTAGATCCATACTCAAGTGTGGAATAATATGCAAAAAAAAATAAATAAATGGGTTCATGAGCATCATCATGGAGTCTGTCCCAAGGGGGAGAGGTAGGATGGATTTCAATCCTAGCATTATACTATGATCATATGAAACTATGTGACAAAATGAAAATGAGAATACAAATTAATTATGCTGCTTAAACATTTCAGGATTATGATATTTTCTAATTGGCAAAACGTAAGTTTGTTTATCCAAAGAAATATCACTCAGTTTTATAAAGAGAATATCACCTATTCTACCACTGTTCTCCGTGACTTGTGGGAGAACATAATGTAACTAGGGAAGGTCTTTGTTCCACTCATACACCATCCTTAGTACCCACGCTGTGATCTGTGGGCTTTTATTAAAACATAACATTTCATTACACTTTTAGATTATAGCTGTTTTAAAAGTAGAATGCAAGTACCTCAAGGGATTTATTTGTGTTTATACTCCTAGCATCTACTTAGTACCTAGTATACAGCAGGTATTCAGATTTTTATTAATTAAGCACACAAGAAATGGATAACTCTAAAGAGCAGATGGGGAAGCAAATCTTAACTTCTTAGAGGGGAGATAGGATTAAGATCAAGGATATTTATACCAGCTCTCAGGGATATGTCATCAGAGAAACAAATTTACTAATAAGAAAACGGAAAGGCAGTAAAGAGTAACGGTTAGGAATGTGGCTTTGGAGAATGGCTACCTCAGGTCAAATCCTGCTTCCATCATTTAATAGCAGTATGGTCTTGGATAAGTAATTTAACATCTCTGAGCTTCCATTGTTTCGCATATAAGATAAAGAGGACAACAGTATCTACTTTCATGGGGTTGTTGCAAGAATTAAACAAGAAAATGGGATGTGCTTATAGGGCACAGTGTATGCTAAAACCAAATGTTAGCTGCATATTACTGTTACATTTATTATTGTTTCTTTCTATTATTAAGGTTTCCTCAAAGATGGAATCAAATAGTTCCTGCCAGAGACTTACTTCAAAGTATGATATAGCTAAGAAACCACTCTAATACTGGTAAAACCAAACTAAGATTCAGGGCAGGGAAGAGGTACAAAAAATAGTGTTTTACAAAGAGGAGCAGTCCCTGGGTGATTAGAACCAAAAGCTGAAAAGGAAACAAAAGTCCATTCGAGAGATCCTCCCATAAAGAGGAGAACCAGAGATAAACAGTGGAAGAATGTTTCCTTTTTTACCCTAAACATGCACTTCAGTTCCGATATAGACAAGACTGGAAACGCTCCAACAGAAACCAAGAACTGGAAACTTAAAGCCACCTTAGGGACATGGGGATGTATATGCATCATTTACTCAGTTGTAGATTATAAATATTCTTGAGGTTCAAAAGTTGACTACAGTCATGCACCGCATAAGGACGTTTTCGGTTAATGACGGACTGCATATACGACAGTGGTCCCATAAGATTAGTACCATACAGCCTAGGTGTGTAGTAGGCTGTACCATCTAAGTTTTTGTAAGTACACTCTATGATGTTCACACAACGACAAAATCACCTAAGGATACATTTCGCAGAACATATCCCCTTTGTTAAGTGTCGCATGACTATATATCTAAAAATGAACAATGTTTTTCTCTGGGAGAAATTCAATGCTTATTATAAATGGAGGAATAGTATATGTCAGGGAACATTCCATGCCAAAACACATTAGAAAAGGAACATTGACTTACTGAGAAATATTTCCATAAGCTCAACCATGTTAACACTAAAATGCTAAAAATTTAACACCCAAAAGAAGATCAGGGCCGGCCCCATGGCCAAGTGGTTAAGTTTGCACGCTCTGCTTCAGCGGCCCAGGGTTTCACTGGTTCAGATCGTGGGCGCAGACATGGCACCGTTCATCAGGCCATGCTGAGGCGGCATCCCACATGCCACAACTAGAAGGACCCACAACTAAAAAATATACAACTATGTACTAGGGGGATTTAGGGAGAAAAAGCAGAAAAAAAGAAGATCGGCAACAGTTGTTAGCTCCGGTGCCAATCTTTTAAGAAAAAAAAAAAATCAAAAGCTAGTTATTTCCCAATGTAAATCAAAATGGTCTCCGAGGAATTAAAGAATCAACTTGCAAAGATAGAACATTAACTCAGCATGTGACTAGATTAATTCTACGGAAACTGTTTAGTTCTAATATCCAGTGACAAAACAACTGATAAAATAAAATTTTATTAGATTCCCTATAATTATAGGATTAGATTTCACCATAGAAAATATCCAGAGTTACTTAGAAATTTTTGATAAGGAAGCTTACCTGATGGTAACGATAGGACAGAATGAAAAGAAGAATCTAACTCTGACACATGTTCTTTTAATATCTGAGACTTTGAATTGTGTCCACAGCTACTCCAAGTTGAAGCTGACTGCAGGCAAGGCATTTGCGTAGTATTTAAAAACGTTTCTTTTGAAGGCAAAGTCTACAAGAGAAAAAAAATCATTTAAAGACTTCATTTTTGCTTGAAAACTGAATCAGAGAGAGTAACATAAGTACAGTATCTGAATGACACCAGAAAGAAGTCCTGGCTTAGTAAGTCGGCTTGGAGAAAGAGCTTCAAAACAACATAGTGCGAGTGAGAGGAGCTCCTGAAGGCTGTGAGCATGATGAGATGTGACTACCCACTTTTCAGTTTTTCAAAGTGAAGGGCAATGTCTATGAAAATGGGTCTTTCTGCCATCTTATAAAATCACAATAAAGAGAAATGAGTTTGAGGAACTTTGCGTCAAAAGAAATGGTTACACACGAGATGGCGAGAACTGTAAGTGATGATGGACAGGTACGATGTTAAGATTAAGAACGGTGTATAATCTTTTCCTTCTTGCAACCTGTTAGAACTAATGAACGCATCTGGAGTCTCTGCCTAAATTCTAATGCCAGACAATATCTACACTGGAGTAACAGTGAAGTGCTGTGATTCTGTTCCACATAACTTAAAAGAAAACATCAAAAAGATATGACGAAACATGCAATATGTTAAGTGATTGAGTTTCTTAAGATAAAGTTATGATTTGAGTCCAGGAATCTCAAGAAAACCATGTTGCTAAATCAAAAAAGCTGGGTTGCAACATTTAAAAAAAATCATATTATGTTTACATGCTGGATTAAAAAAATTTTTTTTCTGGTTATAAAATTATTATAGAAAAAATCTATGAAATCGATAAAATATTTCAAAAATTAATAGAGTTCACTTGTATTCCTTCCCTCACTCTCACTTCTACCCCCTACAATAACATTAGGACTGATTTTAGTTTTTTAATGTAACAGATATCTAAAATGCTTATAATAACTGAGATCTTCAGATGCTATTTTTAAACATTTTTATTTTATAAACTTACATTAGGCTTGTCAACTTTCCTGAGTCTGAGTTTCCTGGCTAACTTTGGCTTTTTCTCTGAGCTTCCACAGCACTTAGGGCATACCTCTCTCTACCATGGCCTTCAATTAGAGTTCCTCTGGACTGTTCGCTCCTTGAACGTTGGACTGTAATTTGTACAATCCTCTATTCCCAGAACAGACACAGTCCCTGACATATAGTTGAAACTGGAATGCTGACCAACTGAATTTTACCTTATTTGCTTTCAAAAAAAAATCATGTGATAAAACATTTCAAATGTATATGTATGCCTGAGACTATTTCTTCCTATCAGAAAAAAGAAATACTCTCTGTTAACATACACTAAAATTTAGCAAGTAATGACTTCTGTTTACATGCCATTGGCCAACACTTAGGTCAGACAGTCATACTTAGCTGCAAGGATGACTGGGAAATGTGGTAATTATTCTGGATGGTTAAGTAAGTTGATGAGTTTTTATAAAAAGATATGATATGTGAATACACGATTACAAGAATGTGAGTCATTTCCAAGATTTATTCTAATGATGTTATATGTACATATTTATGGGAATAGTTGCTCTTTCTTACCTGTACAAGATGCACTGGTACTTTTGACTCACTCTAGAATTATTTGTTCTTTTGGTATAAAGACTATTTATTTGAAATTACAAAGAAAATAATGTGCTAACCTCCCCTGTCCCATATACGGCTAGAGTATTATGAATAAAAGGTGATAAAATCTGAATATTTACCATATAATTAGTTTTCTCTTGCAATTTTTCCAAGTCCAGGAAACCCATTAGCCAATTTGAAACTATCCTAAATAATTATGGAGACAAGTGAGGGACATCTAGGAAAAGGCCTTTTTTCCCCCTGCAGAGAAAGTGAAGCCCAGGAGGCTGAAAAGGAATGGATGGAGAAATAAGAGAAAAAGCAGGAGATTCTTGCCAATAAAAATCCAAATGTCTAGAGGGTGTGAGCAACAATATGATATGTTGCAAGAGATTCAAGCAAAATAAAGACCGAAAAGTATCCACTGATTTAACTTAAATAATGAAACATTTCATATAAACAAAAGAATATATATTTTATAGGGAAGGTATAAAATTATTCTTAAGAAACACCTATACTCACCACCCTTCTTTGAGAAACAGAAACACTGATACCTCCGATGCCTTCTCCTCCTACCCTGCCCATGTGAGCCTGTGGCAGCGATTGCTGCTTCCCCCCAACTATCTGTGGTCTCTTCTCCCTGTTTTAGAACTCCTGACTTTCAGCTGGGTACATTTCTCAGGCCTCCTTGCATCTAAAAATTACTGAATTCTAGCCAGAAGACCATGAAGAGAAATTATGTGTGGAACCTCCAGGAAGTGGCCGTAAGAAGGTCACTTATTCCTCTGCTCCTCTTGATACCTGAAACACAGCGTTGCTGCTGAGGTGCAGTAACCACGTGGATGAGGACAGTGCTCAAAAGATCAAACAGAAAGGCAGGAGGAGCCTGGTCTAGAGAGCCGAGGACAGCGAGGTTGTCACATCTAGAGGGTCTTCCATCTGCTCCAAGACGAGGAAATAAACCGACATCTTGTTTACGTCACTCTGTGAGGTTTCTGTCAAATGCAGCTAAACTCATATCTTAACTAACACAATGTGATTCCTTAATCATATTTTTCTCTCACGATTCCAGGAGTAACTGCTATGAATTTTATCATTTCCTTGGTTAAAATTTGCATTGTTCTGTTTACTATTTACGTTGATCACCTTTTCATACCTGTAACTGGCCATTCATGTTTCCTTCTTTTGGGAAATACATGTTTTGACGATTTTCTATTAGCATGTCTTGTTGATTTTTAAGTTTCTCTTTATATACTCTAGAAAGTTACAAATCCTTGCAGGTGCTATATATTGCTCCCTGAGTTTCCCTTTTCACTTTCTTTGTGATGTCTTTTGATCCACAGAAGTTCTTAACGTAAATGTTTCCTTTCTATATAGTTTGCACTTTTTTGTATCTTGATGAGGAAATTCTTCCCTCCTCTTAAGTCATAACGATATTCTTCCATTTTTTTTCCTAAGAGTTTTAAGATTTGCCTTTTGCATTTAGGTCTTTCCTTGAAATCTATTTTTTTATATAATGTGACGTAGGGATCCAATCTCATTTTTTTTCCCTGTATGAATCACCAATTGACCTAACACCTTTTACTGAACAGTTAGTTCATTCTCCCCAAACTGATCTACAATGCTACCTGTGATATACCACATTCCATACATGTCTGGGACTGTTTCAGGGATCTCTGATGTTGTGCCATTTGTGTCTATGCTAATAACCAACGTCTTAATTACTACAACATTGAATATGTCTTGACATGTGATAGTGCAACTTTTTCCACCTCGTTCCTCAGGGGTGTCTTGGCTATTCTTGGCTTTCACTCTTACGTATAAATTTTAAAAACAGCTTAATTTTCACCAAAAACCTATAGATTTTGTTTGAAAATACACTGAATCTGTAAATCAGTTGGGAGATTTTTCATAGTTATCATGATTAAAGATCATCCAGTTCATGAATATAGCGTATCTTTTCATTTATTTAGATTATCTTTAATTTCTTTCAAAAACACTTTATAATTTTCTGCTCTAAAAGTCTTCACCTATTTTGTTAGATGTATTCCTAGGTAGTTTACTATTTATTGTTTCAATTGTAAGAGGAATTTAAAACTACAATTGAGTTTTATATATTGAACATGTCTCACAACTTTGCTAAACGTTATTCTAATAGTTTCTTTTAGTTTTTCATTATCCAAACACTTTATCTACAAATAATGACAGTTTAGCTTCTTTTATTCAACCCTAAAACCTTTATTCACTATTATTTAGGGTGTTTCAACCGTACTAGATGGGCTCACCAGTTCAATAATGAATAGAAATGGTCAAATGAGATAGTTTTGTTTCTGATTAAAAAGGAAATGCTTTTAATTTCTCAGAATTAAGAATGATGTGGATTAAGAATGATTGTAGGATTTTTTTTTGGTATATTCTTTATCAGAATATATTCCTAGTTTGCCAAAAGTGTTTTTTAAATATATTAATGTTGAGTTTAATCATATGCTTTTTGTGAACCTATTGAATTGATTATATGGCGTTTCTTCTTTAATCTATTTATGTGGTGAATTACATTAACAGATTTTTAAATGTAAAACCAAACTGGGATTCTTCTTGAGGAATCTTGCTAGGGGCTGATCAATTTTATTAACCTTTTTGAAGAACCAACAATTGGATTTATTTTCTATGATGTTTATCGAAAGTTATTGTATATGTATGTTTTTTTAATTTCATTGATTCCTATCTTGCTTTCTTTAGGATTAATAAAATATTTTGTTATATTTTTCCACTCTGTTAAGTGATATTTATACATTCTTTTACTTTTCTTTTAGTGGTTTCCCTAGAGATTACAATGTACATCCTTAACTTGATACTGACCCTGATACTGTTCCCTGACATTAAACCCAGCATATGTGGAGTTAAAACCAAAGCACTCTTTCCCTGCTTACTCCCTGGCTTCCTGGCTCCAGAATCCACTATCTGCCATGGAGACAGACACAGCCAAGGACAAGCACCTGGATTCATTATCTCCTCCCTGCAAAGAGATACAGGCTGGAGGGAAAGCTGCTGACCAGCAACATCATGGGCTCCCTCTTCTCTGTAAGTAGCCTCAAGGCCACACCCAGGCTGGTGGGAAAGCCCTGACCAGCAAGGCCATATGCTTCCCCTCCCCTACCTAAAACCCCAAATAAAAACCCCTCCTTTTAGCTTTTCAGAGAGTTTGGGATTTCAGCATTAGTTGCCCTTTTTCCTTGCTCAGCGCTGTGCAATAATGAAGTCCTACTTTCTTCCACTACACTCGGTGTCAGAGATTGGCTTGCTACACAACGGGTGAGAGAACTCACTTCAGGTTTGATATCAATTTGGTGACCCAGATGAGACCATGTCCCAGGGGAACGTCTCGCCTGTGGCACACCGGCCTCTGGCTAAAGGCCTCTCCTGGAAGTTGTCCTGCAGCTGCCTGAGCCCCTTGTCTCAGGGACAGCCCCAAG